TCCCTCTGGGTCTTCCCAGTGCACCAAGTCCGAGCACTTGTCTCATGCACCCAACCTGGGCTCGCGATCTGTTTCACCCTAGATAATATACATGTTTCGATGCTGTTCTCTTGAAACATCCCACCCTCGCCTCCTCCCACAGAGTCCACAAGTCTGTTCTATACATCTGAGTCTCTTTTTCTGTTTTGCCTATAGGGTTATCGTTACCATCTTTCTAAATACCATATATATATGTGTTAGTATACTGTAATGGTCTTTATCTTTCTGGCTTACTTCGCTCTGTATAATGGGCTCCAGTTTCATCCATCTCATTAGAACTGATTCAAATGAATTCTTTTTAATGGCTGAGTAATATTCCATGGTGTATATGTACCACAGCTTCCTCATCCATTCGTCTGCTGATGGGCATCTAGGTTGCTTCCATGTCCTGGCTATTATAAACAGTGCTGCGATGAACATTGGGGTGCACGTGTCTCTTTCAGATCTGGTTTCCTCGGTGTGTATGCCCAGAAGTGGGATTGCTGGGTCATATGGCAGTTCTAGTTCCAGCTTTTTAAGAAATCTCGGGGTGGAATGGATTTAGTGACATACTTCTAATGAAGAGAAGATAGCAGATAGTGATGATGCGTGACTTTAAGAATGAGGTCATAAAAGATTCTGGAGTTTCCCTCTTTCTTTTTCTCAGACCACTTGCTCTGGGGGAAGCCAACTGGCATGTTGAGAGGACACACTCAAGCAGACCAATGGAGAGATCGGAGAGGCAAAGTACTGAGGGTAGATTCTCCAGCCCTGGTTAAGCCTTTGGAAGATGCAATCTTGGAAAACATTTTAATTGAAACTTCATGGGAGACTCTGAGCCAGAACCACCTAACTGTTTCTATATTCCTGACCCACAGAAACTATGATAGAATAAATGTATATGGTTTTAAGCCAAAAGGTTTTGGGATAATTTGTTATGCAGCAATAGATAACTAATACAAAGGGAAACTAAGGGAGCCAGGTATTCAGCTGTAGCATAAATAAAACAGCACCCTTCCTGGGGAGAGAGTTTTCTTCTGAAACCAGGACTCAAATGCTGAAAAGTCTCCCATTTCATAGCTTAGAAGACCGATTCCCAAAGAGGAGGATGCATGCAGTGAGTTCTGCTCCACTGCATTGCAGCTAAAGCTCAAGAGGGCTGTGGGATTGTGACTGGTCTTGGCTACTTTGCATTCAGGGTCACATGCAAGTAGGGGTGACCATGTGACCATGCATGACCATGCATGTGACATTCAGGGTCACATGCAACCAGCATTCCGTCTCTGGCTCTTGCTCCCCTGCCTTATCAACTGCCTGGGCTCTCAACTGTGTCCCTAAGATGAGTAGGAACCCTCCCTGCACCCTTGCCTCTTTTGAAAGAATATTCATCCATTTATTTTTGGCTGTGTTGGGTCTTTGGGGCTTCAAGGGCCTTCCTCTAGTTGTGGCAGATGGGGTCTACTCTCTAGTTGGGGTGGGTGGGGTTCTCACCGTGGTGGCTTCTCTTTGTTGCAGAGCATGGTTCTAGGGCGTGTGGGCTTCAGTAGTTGAGGTGCACAGGCTCAGTAGTTGGGCTCTTGGGCTCTAGAGCACAGGCTCAATAGTTGTGGTGTGTGGGACTAGTTGTTCTGTGGCATGTAGACTCTTCCTGGACCAGGGATTGAACTCATGTCTCCTATATTGGCAGGCAGAGGTCATAGGACAAACTGCCATCTCGAAATCTGGAGAGACAGATGAATACATAAAATTATAGTCAAGAACAGCTTACCTGAAGCAGAGGCTGCTGGAGCCGGTAACTTGTAGGACCATTTAAAAGGTAATTATGACAATTCCTGAAAACTTGAATGTGGACTAGCTTGAGAGTCCACAAGACTCCTGGGGATCCAGTCTTAAGGCTTGTGTACTGTTTTGACAAATGTCCTTAAGGAAAAGACAGTTCACAGTGGCTGGCTGAACTCTGAGTCAGGTCATGTCAAGACAGCCTTGGGAATGGGCTCAAGCAGGGAACTAATGGACCGGTTGAATAATGACAGTTCTCTGGGAATGAGGCTTTGAAATTGTTCGATCCATCCCCTTCTGCTGACCTCCAGTGGTTGCCAGGCTGCTGGTTTTCACCAAGATTATGGGATTTTAGTTTTCAAGTCTATTATGGAACTGAAAAGTGGGAGGTGGGTAAGATAAAATGTCACAAAGCTTGATAAAATGTCACAAAGATTCAGCAATCTTTATTGAATATAACACCTCCTCCCCACCCAGATTGCTGTAAGAATTCTGAAAAAGTTGGTTCTGACAATTTTTGCCAGTTTTCCAATTGCTTTTAGGTAGGAGAGAATTTTTGGAAGTCTTTAACTTGCCATTGCCATTGCTACTGACATCTTTGTGGAGAGCTTTTGAAAATGTGGAAATGTCACTATTAAAAGTCATAAATGTACTCTGGTTAACCAGGTCATTTGGCAGACTATCTTGTATCCTGGGGAATGTCAGACTGGTTAACTAGGAATTGAAATTGTTAGGGGAGGGAAAATACCCACTAATGAGCTATAGGAAGAAGTCCAGGGAGCAGTGAGAAGAAAATAGTAATCAGAGATGGGCAGTGGATGTGTGTCCAGGCAGGAATACAGTTTGGTGCCAGGTCAGAGGGCAGCTGGACCAGTGCTGATGGTCTCCCACAGGTGTGTGTGTGTGTGTGTGTGTGTGTTTGTGTGTGTGTGCGCGTGCGCTCATCTTTTATGCACCTTTATTCTTGGGGCTTCAGCCCTGGGGACTCTCAGTTCTGACCAGGAAAGACATGCCTGGGTTCTCTCCAAGTCAGGCCCTGATTGATGGTTTCCAATCTGGAAGGTCCTTTCTGTATTTCAAGTCATTCATAGTCATAAAAATCAATTCAGCTTCTTACAGAATTTAACTATCCATCCTGAGCTCAAAGATCTTATACTTCTGTGAGTGTGGAAAATTCTTCCCCTCTTAAATCCTCATCAGAAGACATATATTGGTTTCTTATAATAAACCTTCTTGAAGTTCTGAACAATTGGACTGTCTTCCCCTGAGCCATATTGGTTGGTGGCAACAGAGAGTGGAGATAGTGGTGGGTCCAGACATGATGGCAGATGTTTGGCAGGGGTTGAGAAACACCAGCCTGCATCTTCTAATTCTTACAAAGTTAGTGGGGTCTCCCAATATCTGTGATGTTTCAGTCCTTGATTTGCCTTTTTGTCATTCTGTGACCTTGTACAAGTCATTCATATACAACAACCCAAGGTCTCTTCTATGGAGTGAAAAGGTGGAGCTGGTCCTCTAAAGACCTCAAATAATGAGAGCATGTTTATTTTTTGTTTGAGAGGACAATGTTCTTCAGCCTAGGTAGCCCTTCTTCTTCCTTCTTGCTTCCAGTTTTTCATAAACCTTACCTGGATTCACAGTCTCAACTTCCTTATATCCCATTCTCTTCTCAGTTCCTTAAAATCAGGTTTATTCTTCTAAAATATGATTATCACTCAGGGCATCAATAATCTTTTCATATGCAACATCCTCTGACCCTTCTTTGTGCTTCACTTTCCCAAGCCTTTCAGCAATGAACATTTTTGTCTAGTTTGTCCTTCCTCCTACACTTCTTTCCCATCATCTTTATCATCCTTTTGTTGAAAAAGCAGAGAAGTAGCTAGTATTGACTGGAGGCAAATAGGCAAAAGAGCAGTGCTAGACGACTTGTATCCATCAGCTTCCTGGATGGCTTCCTTGGGGTCTCCCAGGCACTTTCATGCAGCGTGGCCACAGCTAAAGGCATGATCTTCCTGCTGGAATCAACTCATCCCCCCATATTTCTCGTTACCTTTGGGATCCCCCACCTGAGACCCAGACGGGAATCTCACCTGCTCCCTCACCTCCACCCTACTAGGTCCACTTCCTGAACATCTCTCTAATCTGTCATTTTCATTTCTTGTGAAATGTTGTCTTGTGTATCATCACTTTTGCCTGGAGAGTTACATTTATCCAGCTCCCGTGGCACATCCTAAGAACCCCAGAGCAGTCGTTCTGAAATCCATGCTCATCTGAACATCCTTCTGTCCTAAGACCATTAAGATCTTCAATGTAAGGTTCAAACTCTGTTCTACAGCTCCAGTCACTCAGGCCAGGACCCTTTCCCATCTGTGAGCCCTCCAGCGATGGTGAAGAATGACAATATCTTATGCAGAGAAAGAGCAGCTTTATTTGGTGATGAACAAGGAATGACACATGCTTGGTGGGGAAGCAAAGGGGGAAGTTTCCTTGGCTAGAAGGCTGCTCTGGTCTCCAGGCTCTGTCATTGTCCAGGACATGGGTTAGCCTTCTGTGAGTCCTCAGGCAGGCAGTGAATCCTGCCTCAGGAAATGGTTCTGTTGGGAGAAGACCCCAGACAAAATGGAGACTCAAGGTCCCTCATTCTAGATGGTATTGGCCCACGATCAAACCTGCCCTCCAGAGGGTGGGGAGGAGGCTGAGACCCTGGAGCTGGGGTCTTGTCTCCAGCCACCAGGGGAGCCCAGACCCAGAGTCAGGGGGCTCCTTGTGCATGCGCTTGAGTGTGTGTGTGTCTGTGTGTCTATGTGTATTTGTGTGTGGCGTGTTTGCATATGTGAGTGTAAAGGTGTACGTGTGCTTATGTGAGATTGTGTGCATCTGTACGTCTGCCTGAGTAACCGTTGTGTGTCTGGGCACTTTGTGTGTGTGTGTGTGTGTGTGTGTATCCATGACTGTGTGTGCTTCCCTTTGTATCTGTATTGTGGTGCCACTTGTGTCTTTCCACCACTGTCAGCCTTTCTGCGGACTTCTCTCTGCATCTTGGTGTATGTCTATATGGCTGTTTGTCTTTCCCTTTGGATGGCACTGTCCCAAGCCCCCTGCTGCCCTCACCAGGAGGAGAACAGCTGACTACCCCCCAGATGCTGTGGAGTACGGAACAATACTCACCGGCTCAGCAGAGGCTAGGTCCGTTCCTGGAAGTCTTAGACCTTAATGACAAATTCTAGCCCGTGGATCAGTGCGTCTGGAAAATGGGGGGAAAAAAGCCAATAACCACAGACCAGAAGGAAGGAGCCCAGGGATCTTCATGGTCCTCAGGGGCCTGGGAAATGGGAACTCTGAGATTCAACCATGCTCAGGCAGGGCTTGAAGGGGACTGTGCCTCCTTCATCCACCAGCCCAGCTATTCTTTTTTTTTTCCTGCACAAAGGCTTCTTTTTATTCATAACATAGGCAAAGTTATTTAAGTCAATAAATTTTTAAGGATTTTCACACGTCCTGATTCTTTCCACTGCCAGTCACCATAGTTCCTCCAAAGTTGTCATCTTCAAGGCAGCCCTTACAAAAAGTTCTGTTCAATCCACAGCTGTGATGCCGCCCAGCTATTCTTAAGTTATGGCTGATGTGGGGAGAAGGGTCTATGTCTTAAGATGATTCTGATAATTCAAGGCAAAAAAGAACTCTAAAATGGGGAGAGCTGAGACTGGAGGGCCCTAGCTGTCCCATGTGTGTGGGGACAGAGCTCCCTGGGGAAAAGCCCTGCTCCTGCAGAGGGGAGAGAGGACTTGGAAGCAGGTCACATCTGACTCTTTTGTGACCCCATGGGTCGTAGCCCACTGGGCTCCTCTGTCCATGGGATTTCCCAGACAAGAATACCAGAGTGGGTAGCCATTTCCTTCTCCAGGGGATTTTCCCGACCCAGGGCGGGTACTTACTGACAATGGAATGTACCAGAGTGACGTCCAAGCGGCTGAGAACTGCATTGGCCAGGGGGCACACCTGAGCCAGGGGCAGAGAGGAGCATCAGGCACCTTGGGAGACACTGACAGCAACCGCATCCCGAGTATGGGTTCTCTGGGGAGATCTTCTAACATTTGTCTGTGTCTGAGAGTATCTGATTCTAAGCAATCCCACAGATGAACCCTGCCACGTCCACACTGGGAAGACGGAGATGTTGAAGGCGGGGATGAGGTGTCCAATTACAGAGTGAGTGGTTGTTCACTCTGTGATCTGGCGTCTGTTTCTGAATAGGGCAGACTGCTCTGGGAGGGGTGGGTTTCTGGTCATAGGAGATCCTGAGCATAGGCTGGGTGAACCTTGTCTGCAGCCATAGTGGGGGTGGACTGGGAGCTTCTTGGGGCAGGAACCGATCTGTTTCAGCTGTAGTGTGGACACATAGAGTGCCTGGCCTAGAGCAGAAACCAATCAGTACATTTTGAAGGATGGGAAGAAGAAACATGGACAGATGGACCCATGGACAGGTAGACTGATGGATGGAATTTACTTATCAAACTGAGTGACTCAGAAGAGCTCTCCCAGGGGCTTCTTTTAGCTTGAGAAGCTCTAAGATCCAAAGACCAGGAGGCCGCACTCTGTCTCCACTTACCGTTTCCTGCACCAACCCAGGAAGGACATTATTCAAGATGCCAGTGAGGTTGTCAACAAAGTTTTGAATGGGGAGGGGGCCCAATCTGAAAGAGAAAATCACAGAGAGTGCAGGGGCCTGGGGCTGGCATGGAGAAGCTTGGGTTTGTGCCCACTGCAGTCTCAGTACTGATAAGGGAACCTGGCCTTGTGCCTCCACACCCATGTGCATCCATATGTGCCCATCCAAAGGGAGTGACACCCCGCACAGCAGTGCACACACTAGGTACATGTAGAACAAACCCATAGTGCCAGCACACAGTAGGTGTTCAATCAGGCTTTGTAGAATCCATATAGGAATGAACAGTGCTTAGTATGCAGTTGTCATGAGGATTCAGTGAGACGATACATGGGACACACATATGTGTGTTCAATAAATGTTAGTCATGATGGGGGTGGCTCCTGTATTTTATACTTATCTCCCTCTCCCTTTCAAGTGTAACTGAAATAATTACCCTTGTGGGCTCCATAGCTATTTTACTCTTTACTGGGACAAAGCATGTTCACATTTATTATTTTTGAGGATTCTCTCAATAATGCCAATATAGCTCCATATTACAATTATCTGAGCAAGCTGAGACTCAAGTAGGGGAAGAACTATTCAAGTTCACACAGGGAGCCCTCCATCTCCTGCCATACCCCTCAGCTAGATGGGACTTGAATTCAGATTTCTTGTTGCCTAATACAGCGTAAAATTGGTCAGCCTGGCCTAAGAAGGGGTAGTGACCATTTACTTATTCATCCATCCATCTGTCCATCTATCGATCCATCATCTCACTCTTCCACCCTCCCACTCACCCGTTCTCCCATTGTTCCATCTTTCCAAGCATTCACCCATCATTCCATCCTATTGTCTCAATAGGAGCAGCCACCCCTCTGGCCTCACCCATCAAGCAGGGAGATTTGCAGGCTGCCAGGGGAATGAGTGCAGTCGCCAACAACCAGGTGGACATGCTTCTGCTCATCTGTCACAGCTAAGAGTTCCACGGTGATGTTTAGCTTCACAGCCAGCTTCAACAGACTCCCCACCAAGGGCCTGCACAGGAGACAGTCGGCTGTAGCTGAGCTCCCATGTCCAAAGGCAGAGGAGGTTTTCTTCTGGACAGAAATGCCAGTCTTGTCTCATTCCATCTTGCCCACAACTGTACTCCTCTCAATTCCCAGTAGGCTCAAAGAGGCCAAGTGAATCTGCCAAGTGAGTCTCCCAAGTGACTCAAGGTCACTCCGCATAGCAGCAAATGAGCTGAAGCTGGAGGCTCAGGTCTTTTGGATAGACTCCAACAGCTTTTTTCTTTCTTACCACTCAAAATCATCAGGGTCTCCTTTGGTGAGCCATCCTCCCATCCCCCTTTGGAGTCCACTCACGTTTTCACATTGAGGATCATGCCCAGAGGGATGGTGACATAGAGACGATGGCCATCGGGGCTCTGCACGAGGCCCAGTTCCAGCAGCTGAGGGTTAGTGATCTTCAAACTGCCCAGGGAGAAACACTGGAGTGAGAAACATTAACTCCTCTAGTCCTAAACTTAGAAACCACATCTAATCCCACTGTGAACATCTCAGAGGTGGACCCATGAGGTGGGATGGAGGAGATATGAGGGGAGTCTTGCAACAATAGCCATATGAGTTTTGAGTCTCACATCAGTTTTTCCCATCCTCTGCACTGGGTCAGATCCCTCTGCTCACCTCAGGTCTATGAGGTTTTCCAAGATAAGAAACTGTGTCTGGGTTATATTTGCATCCTGTATGCCAGCTCAGAGACTTACAAAGAAAGGGGTTACTTTATACTGGCTGAGTTTGTGGACTGATGAGCAGGTGGGTGGATGAATATGTGGGTAGATGCATGGAAGAGAAAGTGGTTAGACGAAGGGCAGATGGTCAAGTGGATGTATGGGTGGGTAAGTGGATGAGAGGATGATGTCGGGGCAACTGAAATAAGTCCTTCACATTTGAGAGCAGGGATCATGAATCTTGCTGAGTCCTTCAATGGCAGGTCAATCAATAAAGTTTACCATGAAGATAGAGGAGCAGGAAGCTGGGGCGATCTGAGAGAGGGTGGAAGTAAGCCTCTTCTCTGAGGCCTCTTCTTTTCTCTGAGCTAGCCTCTGTGTCAGATGATTTACATCTTCTCCAGTCCTCCTGACAGGTCTCTGTGGGTACCATAATCTTCATTTTACAGATGGAGAAACCAAGCCCAGAGAGACTGAGTGCCTTGCCCTGGGTCACCCAGCAAGTACATGATGGATACAGAAATCAGACTCAAGGCTATCTGTCTGTCTTCAAGTCAGAGGCAAGCATCTGGGTGGCAGGAGGGTGGGGGGGTGGGGAGGGTAGGAATCCTGGGAATGGGTTTGATCCAGTTCTGTAAAGGACCCAGTCTTGCCAGCTCACTTTCCACTCTTGCTCTTTGTTAATTGGATTGTTCCACCAACATCACATGACGATGTCACTGAGGAGAATAGCTTACACTTTCTTGCTTACATCAAAAGCCACCGTGTTCACTAGTGAGGAGAGCAACATAAGAAGGGATTTCACCGATAAAGAGAACAAAATTATCATGGTAGAGTGGAAAAAAGCCTTGGCTCTGGACTTCAGTCAGTTAGAATTAGAACCCGCACTCTGCATCACTCTGGTGGTGTGGGCACACACCCCTTTCTGTGCCTCCACTTTTCTGTAAATCTAGGGATTATTAAACTGACCTCAGAGGACTACAGTGAGGGTGATAGACGATGATGGAGATCCAAGCTGCGCTTCAGGACTGGGAGCAATTGCTGGTTCAGGAGAGCTGCTGCTCCCTGCCAGACTGTGAGGGGTTCTCAGCCTGAGTCCTGGCCTCATGTTCTGATGACCCCGCTCCCTCCTCCGGGGCCACTACCTGGGGCTGGCTGATCTCCAGCGGGAGATCTCTGGTGGGGCCCAAGGCCCTGCTTCAGGGCTACTCACTCAATGATGTTGTTCAGGAGAGGCATGAGTGAAGTCACTTTCCCAAGCAGGCCCCCCAGCAGGCCACTGGAAGGGTTCCCTCCAGTCTTCAGGATGTCCAAGAGCGGAAGGTTTTCGAGAGTGCCCAACAGACCCTCAGAGAGCAGGCCATTGCTGAGAGCTGGAAAGGGGTGTGGGGTCCTTGGGGGTCAGATCTGACAATTATGGCTCCTCAGTCCTTGCCCCCTTTTAGCCCCCTTCCCAACCATGAGATGATTGCGCACACACGCACACACACACCTGGAAGAAGTTGTCACAGACTCTCACTTACCACCTGTCAAGCTTCCAGCAAGATCTGTGGGTTTCGGGGCTAGGGCTGGAGTCAAAGCCAAGGGCAGAGTCTGGTCCAAGGGCACGGGCAGGGCTTCCAGCAGGGCCGTGGTCTGGGCCAGCAGCCCACAGAGGACAACGAGGCTCCCGATTTGAAACATCCTCTCACTCAGTATCTGTGGAAAGGACCACTGTGGCACAGATACTAGAGAGGAACCCATCCACTGCCTGCCCCCGCCCCAGCACACCAGGGAGTGAATAGCGACAGCTAAGGCATTTGCTCTGAGCCAGGTGTCAGGCTGAGTGCTCCACATTCGGTGTCTGATTTCATCTTTACCCTTAAGATGTGGATACTCAGCACCTGCATTGCACCAGTGAGGAAACAGGGGTCTAGTGAGTTTAGGTAACTTTCCCCAAGGTCACAAGTACATACTGGGGATAGGATTTAAAGATAGCTCTCTCTGCCCTGGGGGCCTCTGTTTAAATTAAATGACCACCAGATTTACTTTCCAGTTGTACTTGCTTACAATGTATTGAATGAGACAAAGCAAATTAAAAGGCTTAAATGTGCTAGTGGCTGAGGAGCTCCTCTGCTTTGTCACCATCCTCAAGTCCTCTGGTCTGCGTGTAGCCCGTGATGCTTTGTGGAAGCCCTTGCAAGTCACAAGACTATCAAAGGTGGCAGGGCTGTAGTTACCATCTCATTCATACCAGTGCTGGGAAATCCTGGGGACCATCCAAAGTCCTCATTCAACAAGGACAAGAGGACCAGAGAGGGGTAGTGATTTTCCCAAGGCCAAACAGCAAACTAATGGCAGAACTGCAGTTGGAGGAAGGTTTCCCTCCCACCCCAACTCTCCACCCCTACCAATATACAAACTATCTCGTGCCGCCATCCTTCTCCAGGGCCTTTTTGGAAGTCAGTAAAGGTGTTGAGAGCTGGAGCTGGCTCCCACACTCTGGAGACACTTGGCTGCTTCAGGCAAAATCCCATCAACTGGCCAATTTGGCCAAAGAGCCATCATTGTTGCTGCCACAGGAATCTAAAGGGCTTTTTGGTTCAAAGAGCCAGTTGTGGCTTCCTTGGGAGGTAAACTTGGTTTGGGCCTCTGAATCTCTTTTCAGCAACAGATCTTTTATAACTCCAATGGAAGCTAAGGACCCTTGGTCCCGGAAAAATGCACCGAAATGTACAAAATTGGGTGGATTGTAGGAGGTTGCTGGACGATGGTCTGGATGCACAATGGAGTGAGGGTGGACACTGAGCAATGCACAGTGGTAAACTCAAGATAAAACTCTGTAGAGACTGGGATTTAGGGCAGGAGGAGTACGCCCATGAGAGATCCCTAGCTCACGTGGAATTTGAGCAGTGCACCTACAGCCACGTGCTCCCTATCACCATCAAATAGCCTGCTGCCAAAAGTCTCTACATTGATGTCAATGGTCTCTTAGGGAGGCAGAGTGGATGCTTATCACCTTGCCCCCCAAATGGCAAGCCTTGGTTCTCTTGGAAGACCCCCAAAGAGTGATCTGAGGTGCAGTCAGCCAGTGATGCCACAGTGTGGAGGCTAGCGCCTCTGCCCTCCGAGGCAGTAGTGGTGGTGGTGGGGGAGGGTCGAATGCACAAGTCTCACCTGGCTTCTCAGAGGTCCTGGCAGCTGTCGTTGTCTCCTTGCTTTGCTGAGCAGGTAGCCTTTTTTATAGTGTGGAAATCAGGAAATGAGTGATCGAGAGATGGATTTATAGATAATTCAGAATTCGGCAATCTGTTGGTGTCTTTCAGGGCTCTCCAAAGTAAATAATTGCCAGTCACATTAGTAGGTGGGGCCGTTAAGCTGTTTGATTGACAAGTTAAACAGAAAAATGAGATGGGGATGTTACTCAAGATTTCATGGTTTTGTGAGTGGGGCTGAGGCTGGGAACCCTGGCTCCAAGGTGGCCTGAAGATTACATTTGGAACACCCGGAGAGGCAGCTGTTGGAACTCTGGGAGGGACCTCAGTCTCACTGTTGTTTACTTGCTAAGTCGTGTTTGACTCTGTGCGACCCCATGGACTGTAGCCCGCCAGGCTCCTCTGTCCCTGGGATTCTCCAGGCAAGAATACTGGAGCGGGTTGCCATTTCCTTCTCCAGGGGAATCTTCCTGACCCAGGTATCGAACCCACCTTTCTTACCTCTCCTTCTTTTGCAGGTGGGTTCTTAACCACTAGCGCCACCAGTCTCACTGTCATTGTTTTTCAGTTGCTCAGTCGTGTCCAACTCTTTGCAACTCCATGGTCTGCAGCACACCTGGCTTCCCTGTCCTTCACCATCTCTCATAGTTTGCTCAAACTCATGTCCATAGAGTTGGTGATGCCATCTGACCATCTCATCCTCTCTTGTCCCCTCCTCCTGCTTTCAGTCTTTCCCAGCCTCAGGGTCTTATCCAATGAGTTGGCTCTTCGCATCAGGTGGCCAAAGTCTCATATCCAATGTAGAAAAAGAATCAAGTTGTCTCTGATTTCCTTACATCTGGGGCACCCCTCGGTTCCAGGGTGGGTGTCTCCTGACTTCTGAATCTCAATTGCATGACAGTCACATGCTGGGAGCTAGACATCTTCACAGAACGCTGGAGGGAGGGGTTGCTGCTCCTTCTTTGGAGAGGTGGAAACTGAGGCCCAGTGGGGACAGGTGCCCAAGGACACAGAGAAGATGAGGGCAGGGTTAGTTGCTGCAGTGCTTACTCCTGGACAAATGTCTCTTTGAGTAACAAAATACAAAGAAACTATAAGGGACTAAAAATAACTGTGCATCTGCAGTTGGGGCAAATTATGGACAACAAGATACAAAAAGACCAAAAACCCAGCTGCCTCTTCTGAAAGGCTGAGAACCAAAACCGGGGGTTTGAAGCAAAAGCACATACCCTCTGCACCCCACACCACCAAAAGGGTGGGCAGATCACCTAAGCCCCCCTCCAGCCCAACCCCTGGACACACCCCCTACCCTCACCCCATAGAAGGAACCAGCATGCCCCACCTCAGGGAGGGAGCAAGGGAGCCTGTTACTTATTTTCACTTGCCCCTGCTGTTAGCAGGTGCCCCAGTAAAGCCTTGCCTGAATTTATTGTCTGGCTTCTAGCCAATTTCTATTGACTAAGGAAGGCCAAGAACCCTGGTCAGTGTCATTAGGACTCAAGCTACTGGATAATAATCACAATAAAAACAGTGTCAACAGCTAAGGCTTGCCAAGCTCTGCCTAAATGTCAGTCCCAGCATTGCTATTTTTCACATCCAGCCCTTCAGGAATCCTCACAGCCCTGTGTGGGGTGGGAATGAATACGTCCATTTTACAAAGGGGAAAACTGAGGCTTGGAGTGTGAGGCGACATGTCCAGAGTCTCACGGTGGGCATGGAGCCCAGGCATCCATGCTCCAGTCCTTTCTCTTGATCACTGGGCTGAGACGAGGATGCCTTGGGTGTGCTCTGACCATTTTGCATCCCTCCATCTGTGAGTATCATGTTCCCACTTGTATAACCTGAAAAAGGCTACCCGGTCTCCCAGGCCTGAGGGATCATGTGGCATCCTGATCTCTACCCTTACCCTTTTTTCTTCCCTTCCCCAAATGAAGGCATGAGGAATTTGTTCCCACCCCTTGGGTCTTTGGAGTCTGTTGTACAGATGAAAAAAAAGGCTCACGGAGTTCCAGCTCGTAGTCCAGTGAGAGCAGCTCTTGCCTTGTGGAACCAAACATCTTAAAAGCAAATGCAGAGGGTGAAGGAGGAAATGCACATTTACTGTGTGCCAGATGCTTTCCGTACATGAACGTCATCTTTGACATGATTGGTTGATATTTTTGAACCACAAATGTCAGAGGAGACTAAGGTTCAGAGAGGGTGATTATTGCCAAGGAACACACAGCGAGTGAGTGGTGGAATCAGAATTCCCCCCCATGTCTGATGCCCCAGTAATCAGTGAGCCATGCTGCCCTCCCCTCATTTCAGACTGTCACAGGAGCTACTTCTGCTTCCTGTGAGTCTGGCTGATGCCTCTAGGAGGCTGTGGCTTTGGACTCAGTTATCCATTCAAGCACACACTAGACTGTTCCCACAGCCTGTGTGTTGACAGTCACCCTCAGTGGGGTCCCCTTTTTTGTTATTTTGGTACAGCTTTTCTGGATTGGGTCACATTGTTACTATCTTTTGGGGAAACAGAGGCAGATAAGTCAAGGAATGATTCAAGTTTGTTATTGGACAGCTAACAGCCAAGCTAGGAAGTTATATTTGTATTATGGCAGAAAGGGGATGACTTTGGACACATATCGCCCTGGTTCAAATCCTGTGACCCTGGGAAAGTCCCTCCAATCCTTTGAACCTCAGTTTCCTCATCTGTAAAATGGGAAGTAAGTATCTACCTCCCAGGGCTGTGGGGGATAATGTCTAAGGAGGGGGTTTATGTTCAGTTCATAAGCTCATGTGTCTACATGGTTTTTTTTGTTTTTTAAGTTAAACATTAAAAAATATTTTACTTATTTATTTGGCTTTGCCGAGTCTTAGTTGCATCAGGTGGGATCTTTGGTTGCAGTGTTTGGACCCTAGTCGTCGTGCACAGGCTCCAGAATGTGCAGGCTCGGTAGTTGCAGCTCTCGAGCTTAGCTGCTCTTTGGCATGTGGGATCTTGGTTCCTAGACCAGGGGTCAAACCCATGTCTCCTGCATTGGAAGGTGGATTATTAAGTCCCTACATGGTTTTCTTTTTAAATACATAATCCCTTTATTTATTCATTTATTGTATTTTGGCTGCATCTTGCCACTGGGGATATGGGATGGTTCCCTGACCAGGGATTGAACCCAGGCCTCCATAATAGCAGCATTGAATCCTAACCACTAGGCAACCAGGGAACTTCCCTACATGTTTTTTTTCCCCCTAATGTATGTAGATTTTAATATTCAAGTATCATTTTGCTGAATAACAAAACTGTCCCCACTCCCCCCTGGCATTTTATTTCTGTTCCAGGGGCTTTATTTGTGCCAGGGCATCTGAAGGAGGATGCCCTGTCCTTGTTTTGACTGAAAATGTAGAGACAGCCACATGCCATTTGGTTCCTCGATGCTTAGATGCTGTGTTTCCCTTCCATCCTAAAAGTCCCTTTGAATTAACTTTTTAAATTATATTTTCTCTTTTATTTTTAATCAGAGGATAATCGCTTTACAGTGTTGTGCTAGTTTCTGCCATAAAACAACATGAATCAACCCCTGTAAACTTCCGTCCCCTCCCTCTTGAACCTCCCTCCCACCCCTACCCCATTCCTTCCCTCTTATTTGCCTGCACTGGGTCTTGGTTGAAGCCTGTGGGATCTTTCATTGCCAGGTATGGGCTCAGTCGTTGCTGCAGGCAGGCTTAGTCGCTCCGTGGTATGTGGGATCTTAGTTTTCTGACTAGGGGTTAAACCTGCATTCCCCGCATTAGCAGGTGGGTTCTTAACCACTGGAACATCAGGGAAGTTCCATCCCTTCAAATTTAACCTTTACTTTTTACTCTCTTCCTGGACACCCAAAAGTGTTCTGTGTCGCAATTCCTTGGGCCTTAGGCAGGACCCTGGGGGGACTACCTTAGCCCATCTATCTGGACTATGACCTTCCAGTTGACCTTCTTTCCTTGGGGTCCTGCCATCTTTCCTGGCTCTGGAAGGGAACATGGACACAGACCCCATCCATTCTGGAATCCCCCACATTGACCTGGGGTTTCTGCTGGCCCTCCTCTCACGCCAAGGTTTGCCTGGGGAGAAGTGGGAGACACTTCTCCGAACCCACTACAACTATGTTCTCTTCAGTTTCTCTTGGACTCACACACTCCACCAACAGGGGAGATTTTCTAGTCTGGGGGGCAGGAAATCTTCCTTCGATTAGCCATATACATGCTATTCTTAATGTATAGCATTAGACTATACTATAATACAGTCATATACATGCTATTCTCCTATGTCCCACATTTTGAAATTGAAAAACTCAGGCTTAAAAAAGAATCAACCTACAGTAAAATTGACTTTGGGAGGGGGTGTATAATTCAATGAGTTTTAACACATGAATAGTCTTATGTAGCCACAATAATAATCAGGTTACTACAGAACATTACCATCACCCCCCAGATACACTCATGACGCCCTTTCAGAGTCACTCCTTCCCTCCTCCCGACTCCCTTTCTCCCCTGCAACTGGCAACCACTCTTCTGTTCTTTGTCACTGATGCTTTCTCAGAGACCCAGGCTTCCGAGACTCAAGAGCCTTCTCTCAGCTTCTGCTGAAGTTGTCCTTCCTGGCTGCACCGGTGTGGCTGGTTTCCCTGCCCCGAGCAGGACAAGGGTCATGAGGCATCAAGAAGTGTAGACGGACACCCAGCTAACATTTCAAGACAGTGTTTTCCGCGTTGGTGATGCCAGTGCCTCCTCATTGTGTTTCTCACAAACTGGAGGTTGTGCCCTTTTCATCCTACATATCAGATTGTGATTGTGTTGGGGAGTCTTTACTGGCATTGTTTTGTGAATCAAGAGATTCCTTTTTAAAGGGCAGAGTTCATTTTATTTTTCAATTGTGCAAGGTCTGCTCTCCAGAACTTGGGTGTGGGATGCTAGCTTTGTCCCCTGGGAGCCAGAACTCTATATGGAAGTGAGAGGAAGTTGTTACAAGTATAGAGGGGCAGGGTCTGGAGCAAGCATCTGAGTATTTGGGGCTGAATTTCTGCTTCAATTACCCACTACCCCAGGCCCCAGTATCATATTAGAGATCCATTGTGCACCAAGTTCCTCCAGGAGAAAACATGATGAGTCCACAGCTCTGTGAACCTTAAAATGAAAAAAACAAAACAAAACAAAAAAACCCACCAGAATTCAAGAAACCCGAGGAGGGCTCAGGGGTCAGAAGAAAGGCGGACAAAAGCTGCTTTCACTGAGGGACCAGGCGACCTTGCCGGAAGTTGAGGTCCAGCCCTCCCGTGTTTGCTCTTTGGATCATGAGCAGAAAAATCCCGTAAACTCAAGGCTGTCAAGGGGAATCTTTTGTGTGAACGTGGGCGTTTAGGGTTGCAAATCCCCGGTGAAGCATTTTGGATTAGGGAGTCTGAGTTGAAAGATGGAGACATGAGTATCGCTTGCCCCATTCTCATCTCTGAGCTGTTGACACCTCCTTGTTTGAGCTTGTCAGTCAAGCTGAATGAATATTTCATCATTTTCCCCTAAGTGTAGGGGGTGTGTAGATGGGTGAAGGGATGTTGGTCAGTCAAGCTGAATGAATATTTCATCATTTTCCCCTAAGTGTAGGGGGTGTGTAGATGGGTGAAGGGATGTTGGGAGGGAAGACTGAAGTGGGGGGGTCCACAGTGGTCAAAGTTGTGGGCTCTGGAGTCTGGCTGCTTGAGTGCAGTTGACTTGGTCATTTCCTGGCTGTGTGAGGATAGCAGTTTTGAATAGGATAGTAGTTTTGAACTTCATGCGGTTTCTGTGAGGATTTAATGAGATGCTGGATGCAAGCTCTGAGCACCAAGCTTGGCATTTGCTGAGTCTTTAAATGTGTGTGTTACTGCTATTAATTGTGTGTGTGTGTTATTTCCTCTTTATTTCTCAGTATGCTCTTCCTTGGCTTGGGTGGAGGAGGACAGGAATCTATATTTAAGAACTGAGGGACTTCTCTGGTGGTTCCAGTGGCTAAGACTCTGAGCTCCCAATGCAGGGGACCCATGTTCGATCCCTGATTAAGGAACTAGGTCCCACATGCTGCAACTAAGAGTTCTCACACTGCAACTTAAAAAAAAAAGAATAGTCATTAATTAACTTATTAACAACGAATTAAAGGACTTTTAATAAGCACTTCCCATGGACCTAGCACATGCTAATCATACTTCAACTGCTTTTGTGCATTCCTGCAAATATCCTGCAGGGTAAATAGTTTTTGTTTTCAGAATAAAAATTTTTGGTTAAAGTATAACACCAATGGGAAAAACGCACCTAAGTGAAGAGCTCAATGAACTTTCACAAACTGAACACCTTCCCTGCAATCAGCACCCAGATCAAGAAACAGAATGGCGTCAGCCCTGCAGAGCCCCTCCCTCTAGTTCCAGTCACTAGGCATCTCTCCGATCATAACACCTTCTTGATTGCTGGCCGCATGGATTAGGATTGCTGTATTTGAGCTTCACATAGATGGGAGATCTGTGTTTTGGAGCCTGGCTTTATTAGGTGTGTGAGATCCATCCATGCAGTAGAGTGAGTGCAGGTCATGCTCTTTACTGTAGAGCATTCTGCTGCTGACCGTCCCACAAGCTATTTATCTATCCACTGTATTTATCCTTTTTTTTTGAGGTGCACTTAGGGAGTTTTTGCTTTGGGGCTCTTTGGCTGCCACGAGCAATCTTGGACAGGTTTTGTGGTGTCCACAGACACATATTTCTGTACTTAGGGGCGGGATTTGGGGTCAGAGGGAGGAATATGTTGCCCTTCTGGAGATGCTGCCACCTAGTTTTATAAAGTGGAGTTATGACTCACCTCCCTCCAGCAGTGTGCTGGCTCCTGTTGCTCCATGTCCTGCAAGATCTCTATCCCCTTTCTGCAGGGGAGGAAGACCAAAAGGTTAAGTGCCTTGTCCCTGACACAGCCAGGGAGTCCTAAGACCAGGACTCACCCATCATCTAATCATGAGTAAATGTGCCAGGTCTATGCTGGGGGCGGGTGTGTGGGGGGGTGTATGTGGTCACTGGCTATCCTGATGCACATGTCCATATGCTCATCATGGAACTTCTTATTGGGTTGAATAGAACTTGAACTCAGATCTGTTTGGTGCAAGTGTTTCTACTTTACCACTCTGTCACCATTCTTCACTCCCTTGGAATCCAGCAGAGTGGTTGGCACATATTAGATGCTCAATAAAGTGGAAGTGTCATGTCCAACTCTCTGCAACACCCTGGACTGTAGCTCTCCAGGCTCCTCTGTCAGTGGAATTCTCCAGGCAAGAATACTGGAGTGGGTTGATGTTTCCTTCTCCAGGGGATCTTCCCAACCCAGGGATCAAATCCAGGTCTCCTGCATTGCAGGCAGAATCTTTACCATCTGAGCCACCAGGGAAGCCAGGTGCTCAATAAACATGGGTTGAATGGATGAGAGGATGGGAACTCTCAGCAGGACTCCCCCTGCACTGATGAGCAGATTCATGGATGGGGGCTACTGGCTGCCAGTTACAGGATGAGAAATGATGTTTTCTGTGTCATTTCTGGGCTGATGAGCAAACCCAGGTATATCCAGTCTCGGGATGGATCTTCATCAAGTCTGACTTCTGGAACCCAAACCTCAGGACCTAGGCAGGAGGCCCTTTGCACTCTTCAGAGTTAGAATTTATTATGGAAGAGGACAGGATATCCATAGAACCTGTGGTACAAGTTTTCGGGGCATCAGAAGCCCCACTGTAAGGGAGACTTAAGGTCTCCAAGTGTGTTATTTCCCTCTAATCATCAGTGGCTGCTGGAGGGCACTCAAGTCTAGTTCATGGAAGGTTGGCTGGACTCAAAGTTGGTTGAGTTCATAAGCAATGTCCTGTTCTGTAAGGAGAAGAGGCAGAATCAGTCATCGAGTGTCTGCCCCCCACTCCCCAGGTCCACACTGAAGGGGTCTCTCATCCTTCCATGCTGACCAAGGCTCAGTGCTGGGAACATTTGCATTGAAGCTCTTCAAATGATATCTAATTATTCACTTCTTGTGTCTTCCATTCACAGTGAGTTCCCTGAAGGCAGGGATTTTATCTGTTTATTTGCAACTGGGGCTCAGGTGGGCTCAGGTAGGGGGGTCAGTGCTCCCTAAAGATTGAGTGGAGATCTTGGGCCAGCTCTGGTGACCTGGAGGTTTAATGGGGTACAGCCTGATAGGTAAGGGTGCCCTCCACTGTCCCACCTCACTTGGGGACAGTGATGGTCATGGTCACACATTCACCTCTAAGTGTCCTCAGAGCACATTCAGACACCCAGCAGAAGGCCTCCATGGGAGCTGAAGCAGGGGCAGCTCTCTTGTCCATTTGCCCATCTTCAGTCCTCCCCACCAAACGGACACAGGTGCTCACTTACCCATGAGGCTTTTCAACAGTTTCACATCCAGCTGCCTGAGTATCTCGTCAATCAGAGGACATACCTGGGCCACCAGGACAGAAAGAAGGGTCAGACCAGGGACTGGAAGAAGAAAACTGGAGGGCCTGTGGCTGGGAGCCATGGGATTTGAACAAGGAATCATGGCAAGAGTGGCTCCCCTGTATTGAGTGCCAACTATTTGCCAGGAGCCATGCACCGCATTACTCTGCTTTGTCCCCCTGAATCTCTGTGACTTTCCGTGAAATAGAGAGTGTGATGGTTCTCATGTTACACATGGGGAAACTGAGGTTCAGGGAGGCTAAGTCACTTGCCTAAGGACACAGCCAGTAGATGGCAAAACAACATTTTGATGGAGATTTCCCAGGTTCTAAAGACCCATTTCTTCAATGAAATACCAAATATATGCCCTGACCCACAGACTCAAGGATGCCCAAGGTGAAAACCCTTTTTCTCAAACTTACCTGACTTTCTATCAGATGTGGGATAACTTTTTCCAGGTTGTCTCTGAAGTTGCGGAGAAAAGGATTCACCTTTGGTGGGATAGCTCTAGAAAGAGAGGTGGGTGTATCGCACAGAACAGATAAATACAGGAAACACTAATGTCAGGGGCTGTGTGTGGAGAACATCTCACACAACCATTGACTCCTCAGCCAGCTCTACATGAGAGGTGTCACTGTAAGCAATGATCAAAGGGCGAAGTGATGTGCCTTGCCCAAGGTCACACAGCTAGTTCAGCGCTGATTAGATTAGAACCAGGTCAGTAGCCACACCCCACTGTCCTCTTCATGGATGTCTGGCACAATCTAGGCATTCAGTGAATATCTGATGAATAAATGAACAGATATACTCTGAGGACCTAGTTGCTTTCAGCCATCTGGAATTATGGAGAGAAATCAGACACAGATCTTGCCCTTGAAGGACTCACTAGTCTGTTGGGATTCACTCACTTGGTCAGCCAGCCTGCAGATCTTCATTTAGATCTGTTTTTTTCTATGTTGTTCACTACTGTATCCCTAGCATTAAGCGCACCATACCTAGCACATAGTAGGTTCTCATCAAGTATCTGTCGACTGGCTGAGTGATGAGGAGGAGCTTTAAAGGAGAAGGGAGGGGTGCGGAGGCCTAAGGACCAGCATGTACAAACGCACAGTGGCATGAAAATATATCATACTGCTGGAGGGAGTTCTCAGAGAGGCTCGAGGGTGAAGGGCTGCAGAGTGCGGCCTGGGACGGGACAAGGAGGGCCTTGGGGGACATCCAGGAGTTTGCTCTCTGTCCAGAGGGTGTTGGAGAACCACTGGAGGGTTTGAAGCAGAGGTGGGGGTGAAGAACAAGACCGTATTTCTGGGCTGGGGGAGAATGAAGACCAGAAAATCCCCCTGCTGCAGGGGGAGTAAAGGCAGTGAGGTCTGAGTCAGGGAAAGCCGGAGGAGGTTCAGAAAGTGGACTATGAGCCCGACCAGTGGGTGTGGGGATGGAGAGACAGGGGGCAGCTGAAGGCTGCCAGGAGGTCACTGATGGGACCTGGTGAAGATGGCCTGTGGGGAGGGGGAGGAAGAGTCTGGCTTCTGGGAGGGTGGCAGGGCCATCACCGGGATGGGAATGCAAGAGGAGGAAGAGATCTGGGGGAAAGGGTGAGATCAGTCTAGGGGTTTTCCAGGAGGTGGTGGAGACATGAGACCAAAGCCAGTGCTGGCTGGGAAGGTGCCCAGCCCTGGGAAGGGGTGGCTGGGAACTTACTCAGTGAGGAAAGTCGTGTGGACACTCCTGGGCTCCACGTGGCATTTGCCTATCACCAAATCCCTCCGGCCAAACTCATCTTTCTCCAGCCAGAACTCCACAGAGAGGTTCATGCGTTCGTGTGTCTTTATGATATGGTTATTGAAGGGCCTGGGGATGAGAGAGAGGAGGAGGGGGAAGGGCAGGAGACAGAGACAGAGGAGGAGAAAGCAGCCAACATGGAGAGTGGTTTTTTGCCAAACCAGCCCAGTGGGGCTCCATGGTGCCTGGATGCTAAATTCTGTTGTCAGTGATTAAGGAGAAAAATGTTATTAGCCTGAGTGGCTTCCAAAAATCCTTTAAATAGACTAGATTTGGGGGCCTTTGGGCTTCCCTGTTTGCTCAGATGGTAAAATAATCTGCCCGCAAGCCAAGAGCCCCGGGTTCAATTCCTGCGCTGGGAAGATCCCCTGGAGAAAGGAATGGCAACCCAGTATTCTTGCCTGGGAAATCCCATCGACAGAGGAACCTGACAGGTTACAGCCTGTGAGGTGGCAAAGAGTCAGACATGACTGAGTGACTAACACTTTCTGGGAAGGGGCCTCTGGAGATTAAAAAATAGAGATTTAATTTTATTCTAAAAATCTTTACCATTTAGTGGAGCCCTCCATTTCCTTGGGAGCAGCAAATGTTAAATGGGAGCAAAAGTTTAAACAGGCAGAGGGAAGGGTGTTGAGATCATTGAAATGTTTCTCTTTTTAAAGATCGTTGTAGGGAACTCACTTAAGTTTAAAAATGAGCAAACGACCTGTCTCCACTTATCAGTGATCGCCATTTACATTTCAGCTGAAGAAACCAAGGCTCAGAGAGGTGAAGTGACTTGCCTGAGGTTACATAGCAAGTGAGTTTGGAAACCAGGATTTGAAACCACGTTGGGGCAGAAAGACCTGGGTTCCCCAAATGGCCAAAATCTGCCTGCCTCCACTCCCGGGTTCCCAATGAAGAGGAGCAGTGCCGTTTAGACCCTGCTTCTGTATGACTCACAGTCTCAAGTCAATATCAAATCCAAGTGAGATGTTTGCTGTGAACCACTCCTTATGGAAAGACATCCAGATCCCACCATAGTCCAGCTGAGCGTTGGTAATGTTGGCACTGCACAAGGAAGGAGAAAAAGGCCCCCACCAATGCTGAAGGACCTCAGACCTCAAGACCTTGGGTTGACAGACAAGGCTGGCAGTTGGAGTCAGATCCTTTTACAGATGTTCTGCAGGCAAGAGCTCCCAGTAGGAGTCCTGGGCTGCAAGCTGACCCCAAGCGCCCCTAATAGCTCCATACAGTTGTCTCGTGAAATCCACAGCCAACCGCAGACCCAGCCACTGGGCTTGTTCTCAGAGCCAGCCTAATACTCTCAGAGGATGACTCTTAAAGGATTGAATGAGGGGAAGTGATTGTGGCCTCATATGTCAAGGTGATGAGCACTGGCGTTCATTAAAATGGAGGGAATGAGGGATTCAGATCACAGACAAGGCAGGTCAAGGGCACAGCAGCTGTTACAGTTGAGTAGCTTTGAGACCTGCATCCATTGAGAGGAAGGAGGGCAAGTGGAAGTGAAGGACAGGCCCAGTTCTGTGAGACTAATTATACCAAAGGCTATGCAGTTGTTTAATTAGTGGCTATGTGGTGGCTATGAGTGCTGTGGGGAAAGCCCCTAACAACCCCAGGAGGCAGGGGTCATTATGCCCATTTCACTGATGGGACTCAAGGCTGAAGCTCGGGGAGCTCAAATGCCTTGCCCAGGGTCACACGGCTTTTAAGCAATAAAGTGGGGTTCAAATGTCTGACTCTAGCCCTGGGTTCCTATGGCACCCCAGATGTTATCTGGACTATGCTCTGGGTACCTATGTCATAGATGAGGTCAGAGTTGTCCAGCAATTTCCCCAAAGTTGGTGGGAGTGCCAGGATGTAAATGAGGACACTTTTGCTCCCGAAACCTCTGCCTTTAATGACTGTGCTGTGCTGCCTTCCCCAGTGACCCCCCAACTCATCTTACCTCTTTTCTTCTTCACAGGGCTTGTACCTCCATGCCCTCAACACTGCCCTCTGACCCAGAGCCTTTTAAGGAATCCCAAGGCCGGGGGTGGTGTTCAGGATCTCACCTGCCTTCTGGATGGTGATGAAGGCTCGTGCTGCCGATTAGCCAGCCCACCATCCCCGGGGCCATCTGCCCAGAGGCATTCAGACTGTCCAGGAGGTGAATGTTCTGGATTCGGCCCTCTGTATCGTGCTTCATGAGGCCCTGGGCAATAACTGGAAATGGACATGGCACCAGTGACATTGCATGATGTCCTGGCAAAGGTGGAGGGGCAGATGTTGGAGCCAGGAGGCCCAGGTTGCAGGCTGCAGCACCCACTTCTTGCCGAGTGATCTACTGGGGGGCTTCCCTGGTGGCTCAGATGGTAAAGAAATCTGCCTGCAATGCAGGAGACCCAGGTTTGATCCCTGGAGGAAGATCCCCTGGAGTAGGAAATGCAACCCATTCCAGTATCCAGTACTCGTGCCCGGAGAATTCCATGGACAGAGGAGTCTGGTGGGCTACCGTCCATGGGTCGCAGAGAGTCCCTGGTTTCATGGAAGACTCTTACCCAACTTTATAAAAAGGTAATTATGAAAGTAAATGGAAAAAGAAGATGCAAAATTCATTTTATGAGGCTAGTACAACTTGCTTCAAGAACAGTACAAGACTGATGACCTAGAGGGGTGGGATGGAGTGGTGTGAGGGGGGCTCGATAGGGAAGGAACACACGTATACTCATAGCTGATTCACGTTGTCGTACAGAAGAAACCAACACAACACTGCAAAGCAATTATCCTCCAATTAAAAATAAAAAATTAGAAAAAAGTACAAGGGAAGTTATATATCAATTTTATATATAAAAAATTTGCTAAGATCCTAAATAAATGACTAGCTAACAAATCTAATAGTACATTATAAAAATATCACATGACATTACAAAATATAAATTTTAGTTTGATACATTATAGATACATTATAGTATACTACAAAAATACATTATAAAATAGTAGCTTGTAAAGATATAATTATCGTACATTATAAAATATAATATTTATTTCAGAAAAGCTAAGATGGGTTTAACATAAGAAAATCTGTTAATATAATTTATCATATTAACATAATAGATGTAAAAATGGTAATTTTTAGATGCAGAAAAGCACTTGTTAAAGGCTAATATGGATTTATGATTAAGAAAAATTTAGGAAACTAGGAATATAAGGGGACTTCTTTAACAAAATAAAAACTATATTCCAAAAACCTACAGAAAATATACTTAGTGAAGAATTCTAGATATATTCCCATCCCTGTAGGAGACCTTGACTATACTGCAAAATAAGAAAAAGGCACAAGAACTATAAGGTTTAGAAGAAAATAGAAAAGACTGCCACTATTTGCAGATGATGTCATACTCTAGGCAGAAAATTGAACAAAATAAATAAGAAAAATTACTAGAACTAATAAACCATAAGACTTTGGGGTAGCAGACTAATTTTCAAAAATCAACAACTTTCCTCTCATCTGTACCAGCAATACCAACTAGAAAATATAAAAGAAAATCAGGCAATGTTTACTGAGGCAACAAAACTCACAAAATCTCTAGGAATCAATTTTACAAAGCATGCTCAAGACATTTACTGAACTTTAAAATTCTATTAAGGGTTACAAAATAAAATCTGAATAAATGAAAAGGTATACTAAATTTGTAATTGGATAATGTAATATTGCAAAAATATCATTAAATTCATTAACAAATTCAATGAAATCCTAATCAAATTTCCAGAAGATTACTTTTTCTTTTTCAATGAACTAAACCCAGTCTAAAATTAATTTGGAAGAAGAAAGTTCTATCAGATGAAATGGCATAGTATTTAAAATACTATGTTCTTGGTACAGAAACAGTTACACAGAAACAGAACACAGAACTTAAAAGGGAATCCATGTGTTTGGAAACTTAATCATTTAGTAGATGAGTTGAGAAAATGGACTCATATGGAGAGAAGTGAAGTTGAATCTCTAACTTATGTATATAAATATACATAAAGATGGCCTCCAAATGGATTAAAATCTTACATGTAAGTTTGAAAATATTCCTGTTCAATGAAGCATCTACCAACAAAGTTAACAGATGACAGTTTGGAGAAATGTTAACAGTGCTTAGACTGACAAGGGACTAACATCAAATAAATTAATGTCTCCTCAAATCAAAGAGAATTTAAAGAATGGAAAGCAAATAGAAAAATGGGCAAAGGGTAAGAACAGGGAATTCAAAGAAGTCAAAATGGCTAGAAAAATTAAGATGTGATGCTCAGGACCTCCCTGGTGGTCCAGTGGTTAAGAAAAACGAACAAACAAACAAACAAACAAAACAAAACAAACAAAAAAAGAATTCACTGGCTAAGGACCCATATACTGCAGGGCAACTAAGCCCATGCACCATGACTACCGAGTCCATGCTCTAGAGCCCATGAGCTGAAACTATTGAGCTGACACGCTGCAACTACTGAAGCCTGCATGCCTAGAGCCTGTGCTCTGCAACAAGAGAAGCCAAGGCAATGAGAAGCCCATGCACTGCAGTGAAGAGTAGCCCCTACTTGTGGAAACTAGAGAAAGCCCACACACAGCAATGAAGACCCAGTGCAGTCATAAATAAATAAATAAAATTAAAAAAGAAAAGATACGGTGCTCAAAGTTCCTACTAATCAGATAGTCAAGCTAAAACAAATTAGATATTGCTCACAACACAAGAAAACAAAACAGACTAGCAGACATTTAGAAAGATGACATTATGTACTGAATTGCGCTACCCCTCCCTAAATGAACATATTGAAGCCTCAGACTCCAATTTGACCGTATTTGGAGATGAAGCCTCGAGGGAGGAGTTAAGCTTAAATCAGGTCATAAGGGTGGGGCCTTAATCCACTGGGATTGGTGTCCTTTTAAGAAGAAGAGACACCAAAGTACACTCACTCGTCTCTGTGTGCACTCAGAGCAAAGGCTTGGTGAGGACACAATGAGAAGGTGGCTCTCTGCAAGCCAGGAAGAGAGGTTTCACCAGAAACCAACCCTGGCAACTTGAACTTCCAGCCTCCAGAGATGTGAGACAATAAATGTCTGTTGTTCAAGCACCCCGGTCTGTAGTATCTTGCTATGGCAGCCCAAGGAGACTGATACAGGTGGGTTCTCTCCAGTGTTGGGAAACATGGGGACAGAGGTATGCTTGTTTGTTACTGGAATGGGTGTAATCATTCTAGAGAACAACCTAGCAGTCTTTAGTTAAATTCAGTTTGCATCTTCCTTAGAGCCCAGACGTCTCCCTTTAGGAATATATCCCAGAGAAATTCTCCCACAGCTTCTAAGAGGAGCACATGTGAGAATGTTCATTACTGTGCAGTTTATAATAGTGGGGAGTTAGAGACAACTCAAGTGATCATCCCTAGGGAAATGGACAAGTGGTGGTGAAGTGGACAAATTTCATGGACTTTTCTGCACTAATATGAAGCAACAGATGTCAACAGCACAATGTCCAGAAAAAACAGTAAAAAAAAAATTAAGTCTTGTATATGAAATCTTATTTATTGGGTTGGCACCAACTTATTTATTGACATCATTAAGATGTCATGGAAGAACCAGAAAAACCATTATGGCTAACCTATGTTTTACAAGGATATGGGCATTTAAAAACGCATGTATTAAACATGCTACATTGCCTGCCAAGGAAGAGGGGAATAAGAAGAGGTTGAGGGGAAAATAACAAAATAAAACACAAGAGGGGCCTTGCCATGGTGCCTGATAATGACGATGTGTTATGAATAGGCATATGATCAACTCAACCTCAATTTTTTTGTACTTTGGGTCTATGAAAAAGAGGAAGAAAAGCGGGTAAGTGACTGATCCCAGCTCATCTAGCTGGGTAATACTTTCCCACCCTCCCTGTGATAGCAGGCAGAGCACGAGGTTAGCTTACTTCTTGCCAGAGCCGACTTGCTGTCTGTGTGGGTCTTGGCCAGGCCAGGCTGCTGTGGCTTGTGTAGGGCTGAGGGCAAGGCCAGCAAGCCGAGGAGGACCAGGAGCCTCCAGACAGAATGCATCCTGGGTTCTGGGACCTGTGGGTATCAAGAAAGATCAGTTGATACACAGGTGGGTGGCTGCAAGGGTGGCCACCAGGATGAATGGACTCATGGTTTTTGGTAGGAAGATGACCCAGAGTTAGCCTCCAGCATGCTGTGGGGAGGTGTGATGGGCTCTGGCAGCTGCCACTGGGGCTTGCTCACATGGTGAGGGCAGCAGGTGGAACACTGGGGTGAGGCCAGGGATCCAGAGGGAAGCTTGGTTGCTTGGAGACACCCAGTAGAGCCCACTGTTGGGTCATCCAGCAGGAGTCCTCTCCCAGACTCTGCACAGGCTGGGTGTTGGTGACTCTTCAGTGAATAAATGAATGGGTGAGGATGGCTAATCTCAGGCTTCCCAATTGGACTAGGATTTTTCCTAAGGACAGGATCTTCTATAATGTCTACCACCATGCTTGCTTGCTAGAAATTAAGTGCTGGTGATTGTTTATTGATGACTGAATGACTGAATACATGAAATAGTGAGAATGGTGGTCTCTGTTCAGTTCAATTCAGTCCAGTCACTCAGTCGTGTACTCCAGGGACTGCAGCACCCCAAGCTTCCCTGTTCATCACCAACTCCCGGAGCTTACTCAAACTCATGTCCATTGAGTGGGTGATGCCATCCAACCATCTCATCCTCTGTTGTCCCCTTCTCCTTCTGCCTTCAATCTTTTCCAGCATCAGGGCCTTTTTCAATGAGTCAGTTCTTCGCATCAGGTGGCCAAAGTATTGGAATTTCAGCTTCAGCATCAATCCTCCCAAAGAGTATTCAGGACTGGTTTCCTTTAGGGTGGACTGGTTGGATCTCCTTGCAGTCCAAGGGACTCTCAAAAGTCTTTTCCAACACCACAGTTCAAAAGCATCAATTCTTCAGTGCTCAGCTTTCTTTATAGTCCAACTCTCACATTCATACATGACTAAAGACCACAGCTTTGACTAGATGGACCTTTGTTGGTAAAGTAATGTCTCTGCTTTTTAATATGCTGTCTAGGTTGGTCATAGCTTTTCTTCCAAGGAGTAAGCGTCTTTTAATTTCATGGCTGCAGTCATCATCTGCAGTGATTTTGGAGCCCCCCCAAATAAAGTCTCTCACTGTTTCCATTGTTTCCCCATTTATTTGCAATGAAGTGATGGGACCAGATGCCATGATCTTACTTTTCTGAATGTTGAGTTTTAAGCCAACTTTTTCACTCTCCTCTTTCACTTTCATCAAGAGGCTCTTTAGTTCTTCTTCGCTTTCTGCCATAAGGGTGGTGTTATCTGCATATCTCAGGTTATTGATAATTCTTCCAGCAATCTTGATTCCAGCTTGTGCTTCATCCAGTCCAGCATTTTGCATAATGTACTCTGCATATAAGTTAAATAAGAAGGGTGACAATATGTAGCCTTGATGTACTCCTTTCCCAGTTTAGAACCAGTCTGTTGTTCCATGTCTGGTTCTAACTGTTGCTTCTTGACCTGCATACAGATTTCTCAGGAGGCAGGTGAGATGGTCTGGTATTCCCATTTCTTGAAGAATTTTCCAGAGTTTGTTGTGATCCATGCAGCCAAAGGCTTTGACATAATCAATAAAGAAGTAGATGTTTTTCTGGAACTCTCTTGCTTTTTCAATGATCCAACAGATGTCAATTTGATCTCTGGTCCTTTTGCCTTTTCTAAATCCAGCTTGAACATCTGGAAGTTCACAGTTCATGTACTGTTAAAGCCTGGCTTGGAGAATTTTGAGCATTACTTTGCTAGCATGTGAGATGAATGCAATTTTGTGGTAGTTTGAACATTCTTTAGCATTGTCTTTCTTTGGGATTGGAATGAAAGCTGACTTTTTCCAGTCCTGTGGCCACTGCCGAGTTTTCCAAATTTGCTGGCATATTGAGTGCAGCACTTTCACAGCATCATCTTTCAGGATTTGAAATAGCTCAACTGGAATTCCATCACCTCCACTAGCTTTGTTCGTAGTGATGCTTCCTAAGTCCCACTTGACTTCACACTCCAGGATGTCTGGCTCTATGTGAGTGATCACACCATCGTGATTATCTGGGTCATAATGATCTTTTTTGTACAGTTTTTCTGTGTATTCTTGCCACCACTTCTTAATATCTTCTGCTTCTGTATTGCCCATACCATTTCTGTCCTTTATTGAGTCCATCTTTGCATGAAATGTTCCCTTGGTATCTCTAACTTTCTTGAAGAGATCTCTAATAGTCTTTCCCATTCTGTTGTTTTCCTCTATTTGCATTGATCACTGAGAAAGGCTTTCTTATCTCTCTATGCTAGTGTTTGGAACTCTGCTTTCAAATGGGTGTATCTTTCCTTTTCTCCTTAACCTTCAGCTTCTCTTCTTTTCTCAGTTATTTTTAAGACAACCATTTTGCCTTTTTGCATTTCTTTTTCTTGGGGATGGTCTTTATCACTGCCTCCTGTACAAAGTCAGGAACCTCCATCCATAGTTCTTCAGGCACTCTGTCTATCACATCTAATCCTGTGAATCTATTTGTCACTTCCGTTGTATAATCATATGGGATATGATTTAGATCATATCTGAATGGTCTAGCGGTTTTCCCTACTTTCTTCAATTTAAGTCTGAATTTGGCAATAAGGAGTTTATGATCTGAGCCACAGTCAGCTCCCAGTCTTGTTTTCGCTGACTGTATAGAGCTTCTCCATCTTTGGCTGCATTTTTGGTTGGTCTCTAAATCCCGCACTAAAGTAAATGTTTCTGAGGACAGGGTGTGAGTTTAATCCATCCTCATGTGTTTAGTGCTTCCCGTGTTTACCATGTGGCAGTTACTAGCAATGTTTGTTAATTGACACAAATGAATGACTGAATCATTGGATGGGCAGATTGTGGTTAAGATTTACAGGGAGGGGAGAGAGAGCCTTGAAATCAAAGCACTGCAAAGTGTAAGTTTACCTTGTTGCTCTGGGTTTGAGGGTCGTAGAGAATTCAGCTCAAACCCCCTGTCCTCCCCTTCTTAAGAAATTGTATCCCAATCCATCCAGTGGCTCCAGCTGCAGCCCTTGGAGTCCCCCTTGAGTTCTCTTTCCTCATCTCTCACAACCCATCTGTCCAGAAGTCCTGTCAACACTCCCGAAATCTGACCACATTTAACAGCTCTTCCTCAGTCACCATCATCTTGGCTTGAGTTATTGCAGGTGTGTCCTACCTGGTGTCTCAGCTTCCTTCATGGCCCATTTACAATCTCTTTTGCATACAGCTGCAATCGTTTTGAGACCTAAATTAGACCATGCACTCCTCTGCTTTAAAACCCTCCAAAGTTTCCCAAAGAAAAAGCCAAACTCTATGCAAAGCCTCCCAGAGCCTGCAGGGTCCCTGTGGCCTCTCTGACTGTAACCCCTACCACTCTGCCTCTCCTCTACTCCCCTGCAGCTGCAAAGACCTTGGGGGTCTGGGCTCCACAAGTCAGCTGCCATGAGCTCTGAGACAAAGGCACTTTCCCCTTCCCATGCTCCCCCAACAACGCGGAAATGCAGGTCCTATGTGAATTTCTCTGAATCCCTGGGCCATTCTTGGACACTTCATTTCTGGTTTCGTAAATCAAAAGCATCAGTTCAGGGTGATAGCTTTCCTGATTTGAGGTTCTCTCTCAGGGTTCATGATCCCCTTGAGGATGTTTGTGGAATATCAATTACTTTTAAATGTACTTTTCTAGTCTTCCTGGTCTTGTGTAACCAGCTGGGATTTTGTTATTATTTTGTTAAGAAAATTGGAGAAGAGAAGGCACTGTTGTCCTTGGCTCTTTGGAGGTGTGAAGCGGGGGTGAGGGTAGGGGCTGTCAGTCCCACCTCATCACGGGCTGTGGTTCTCAGGGCCACTGAGTGTAAATAAATGATGACATGGAAGGTGTAGACTTTCCAGGTCTGGGGTGTGATTTGGGAACAGGAAGCACTGCTCAGGGGTGAGCCCTGGATTTGGAGTCAGCTTAATGCATAATCACACGTGGTTAAGAGCATGGGCTTCTCAGTCACACGGACCAGGATGCAAATCCTGGCTTTCCCTCCTGGCAGACGTGGTTTCCAGATCTGTAAAAGGAGGAGGAGCATCGTTCAGGGCTATAGTGAGGATTAAGGGGAATCATGCTCAGGGCGATGCTCAAAATCCTTGTAGCTATGATTGCGGTTACTCTCACCCTCGCCTCTCTGAGTCTCAGTTTCCTCACCTGTAAACTGGAGAAGCTGGTGGAGTGAATGACACCACGTATGATTAGCCTGGAGATGGTGCCCAGGACACTGAAAATGCACAGCATGTTAGGGAGCCACCTCTCCTGGGTGCATCTGCAAATGAGCGCATGGCTGTTTGGGCAATTCTACCAGGAATTACAAGGCAGGGCTGTGTGCCTCCAGTGCCTGGAGGGAGTTTGCAGATGTCCAATCAGATGGTGGGCTTCGTGCTCATTCATTCAACAAGCAAAGCACTGAAGTGTTGAATGCTATGTGTCAGGCATCATGGCTCTGAGCATCCAGGCAGGTTCCTCATCCTCATGGTGCTCACATACCCACGGGGAGACAGACAGTCTTCAGTGAGCACGTGCTTATGAAGCTTGGCTCTGCTGTGGAGTGGAGGTGGGAGGAGCTAAGCCAGGGCACAGTGAGGGGAGACCTGGCTGGTGGGGAGGGGGTAATCAGAGAAAAGACCTGCCCAAGAAGGTAGAGTTGACATTTAAGGGAAAGACTACAGCTAGCTGTGTTGTCCCACCTCTGGCCCTGCTGGTGCTCCTAGAGAAGGAGGTGCTGGAGGGATGCTCAGCTCCTCTGTAAGCAGCTACCTACGAGGATGGTGATGATATTTATCTGATGGCCTCATTCACCGTGCTAAGCCTGCTCCATGCGAGATGTCATTCTACCCTCCTGCCGTACATGAGGGGACGGGGAGCCAGAGAAACCCAGCAGCCTGCCTTCCCAGAGCAGTGAGACGCTGTTTCCCTTTGAAAGATGGAGCTGCCGGACACCCCAGACTTCAC